AGTCAATTAACAAAAATCTTAGATACCACATTTAGTGACTACTTTAGGTAAAGGTAAAGGTTCCCTTGCTCGAAAGCCAGTCGAATCCGACTCTAGGGTTGCGGTGCTCATCTCCGTTTCAAAGCCAAAGAGCCAGCGCTGTCCGAAGACATTTCCGTGGTCATGTGGCCGGCATGACTAAACACTAAGGCGCACGGAACGCTGTTACCTTCCCACCGAAGTGGTCCCTATTTATCTACTTGCAATTTCTTGCTTTCGAACTGCTAGGTTGGCAGGAGCTGGAACTAGAGACAGGAGCTCACCCTGTCTTGCGGCACCCGGGTCTTGAACCGCTGAACTACTGACCTTCCACAGCCTGCAGTTCAGCGTCTTAACCCCTTGAGCCACCGCAGCTCCTTATAGTGACTACTTTACTGTTCAGTAAATTCTTAATGTAACGGTTGGGCTTGATGAAGTGATACCAGCTTCCCAATGCCTGGTTTAAAATCAATTAGCAGGAGTCTTAAATCACCATGTTTAGTAATCTGGAATTGATTTCTTTATTTGGAGAGAAGTTGGATGACCTCGTTAAAACCACGTTCCTCCAAATATGATGTTGGAAATGCAACGAGGAGCTTCTTAACCACTCTCCATAGTGCAGAGTAGCAGAAATTTCTTTCTGTAACCAAAACTCTTGGTATGATTTCTTTCTTCTTCTTCTTTTGGTATTTGTGTGTATGTCTGGAAGTTATGATTGACTTCTGGTGACCCCTAGTAGGGCTTGGACGTTTCAGAGGGGTGGCTTGATATTTGCCTGCCTCTGCCTCCCAGCCCTGGTATTCCTTGGAGATCCCCCTTCCAAGTACTTGCCAGAGTCGGTCCTGCTTAGCTTCCGAGATCTGATGAGATTGGGCTTTCCTGGGCTATCCAGGTCAGGGGTCCTGGTATGATTTCTTAAAGTTTGGCTTCAGTTCAATGTCATTTTGTAGCTCAATTAGGTGTTCCTCCAATACCTAAACTTCCTCAGTATTTGAAAATGGATTTATCACCCAATCTGGAATTTCCATCAAAAGAAAGCCTCAGATCACTCAGACACATCTTCATGCAGCATATCCAAATGGTCACTAAAAACTTGCAGATCATCATCCTGTATCCCACCTTTCTCTTTTAGCTCAGACAAACTCAGAAATGGGTAAAGCACGCAACAGCCTAGATTGTGTTTGAATAGATTGAACTTTGAAATAAATGTAAAGATGAGAGATTTGGCCTTAATAAAATTGTCCTAATTTACTTGCAACTGAAAATTCATTTCATTGAACTTTGCAAATAGTTCTGATAAATAGGCAATGTCACACCTGATCTCTTTGAGTTCATCACTGAGCAAAGTGTTTGTGTCTTCAAAAAACTCCACAGATGTGTCAAAAAGGTCATGAAAACATACCACACAGTTATCTTTTTTTTTTAAGCCCCCGAAGGGGATTTTTTATTTTTTTTAATACTACACAAACTACCAAGAAAAAAATAGGGATAGGGGAACTACAATTAGGGAGAAAGCAAAGGCAACCCACACTAAACTAAAAACCCAAGGTTAGGAGATAATTTCTGTTAAACTACTGTTAATTAAAAAAGGATGTTAATAAACAATATACTTTGTAAGGACCTATCTTTCTAAGCTTATATGTTAGTTTGTTACTTGTTATGAGAAGATTTCCCGAGCATCTCCTCCAGCTCACTTCATAAAGGCAATTTGCAAAGCCCTTCCGCCTTTACATCTATACTAAAACTCTCTAAAATCTTGATAGCTTCTTAGACGTTCACTGCAACCCAATCTTCTTCCGTCCAAAGGAATAAAGCCGCCAGTCTTAAGCCTCTTCCGCTCTGGTCTCGGGGTCCAGTGGCATCTCAAAGGTTTCTTGATTGTGAAGGGGAACTCCAGCTTTTTTCTCAGCATGCTTTAAGATTACACTTTCTAAATTGTAAATTTTCCCTGTTTCTCTTGTGCTTTTTCTTCTTTTCTCATTGAGATCGCTGTTTAATTTAGTTTCCATCTCATTCACTTTGAAAGCCCTCAATTCCATTTTTTCTACTGTCGCCTCCTGGAGCAGCCGGGACACAAATTGTTGATTTATCTTGGCAAGCTGCTGGTTAATACCAACAAGTTGCTCCAAAATCGGCTTAATGGCTTCTGCTACTAGTGCAGTGACGTCAACTTCCCTTCTTCTAGGAGTTTTCGACATCTTTTTTAGAGTGTCTGCCATTTCAACGTTTTATTTTCAATAAATCTCTTTCTTCCTGGCTCTGCAAATAGCATTCGCTGTTTAAAAGCTCATGGAAATCTCCCACAACAGGCTTACACACTTGTAAAGTATCCGTTTCAGAAGTATCCGTTTACAGCTGTCTCTCCCCCTCCCCCTCCCCTCATCCGTTTATGTAAACGCATCAGAGAGGCACCCCCCTCCAATCGCTTAAGGGGTTTCAGGGGGGG